ATATCTCCGAAAATTATATTTTCGCATGACCGTTCATATTTAAACTTTTTATTATACATTGATTGTAAACAAGTATCGTATATATGAACAAGGACATGTATATGTATATACAAATGTATATTTATATACATGTAGTTCTATTTGCCTTCTATTTGTATTTCAAGCATGATTTCTACTGGCATGTCTTTTCGCACTTGTAATGATGACTTTCTTTCATGAATATGTTGTCTAATTATCACTTTTTTGTATATTGGCTTTGATGGATAAGTGGTTAGTACCTCGCATTGTTGCATCCACATTTATTATGATATGACACATATTTATATTTGTACAATTATAATATTGTCAAGTATTTTAATATTTAATATTGTCAAGTATTATAATATTGTCATTGTAGAAATACTTATGTAACAACAAGAGTAGTTATATTAGTTAATCAAATTGTTCTTCAACCTATCTTGTCATTAAAAATTGTATCTCAATTCCTTTTACAAATTATATTTTCAATTCTAGAACTATGCGTATTCTCCACCTTTCCTCTGTGTCTCCATATCGAATTTATAACGCCAATAACACATGAAATAATTGATATAATAGAAATAATTACTATTAACATTAACATGCTGTAAATATAAATATTTACATTTATATTATACAAAGAGGATATCAAGCACATTGGCCCTCATGATTCGTATAAATATAAAATAACGAAGCGCGATGTGACACGTGAGTATTTTAAATAACAAGTACTTTTAATATCTATACTACTATTATAAAAAAAGTACTATTATATACTATTATAAAAAAAGTAATATGAAAAAAATGAAAGATTTCAATAATTCTAATGTTAATGATGCATAGATGATCATACGAAGTACAATACAATGTGCTAAATCAAGTATTAAAATCGAGAGAAGGTAATCATGTCAGGTAGGCGCTATTATCATTCACGACTTCCTTTTAACTGTACCCCGGATATGCATGCCGGGTCACGTCCTGTTTCAACGGAGGTTTTCCGGCGTCACGTACGCTGATGCGGATAGAGCTGAACTTTTAATCTGCCGCAGTTTTAAATTGTCATGTCCGTTATTTGAATTTCATGTCAAATCTAATTTATTTGAAAGTCCATTTTTTCCGTTTTTTTTGCTGCTACAATCAGAAATTATTATATAATTTAAATAGATAAAATAAGATTATTACTCTAATTACCATATTAGTTTCAGAATATCAAAAGGTATGGCTGTAATCAATATTAATCACATTTACAATAAAACTATGCAAAATATTTTAGACATAAATATGATTGAAATAGTAAGAATGTATTAAATTGAAAATTTTGTTGCAGATTACTATTATGTGGAAATGACAAGGGAAGATTGCAAAGAATAGGCACATTCGTGATCTACCCTGTAGATCCGGGCTTTTGTAGAATGTAAATATCAGAAGCTCGACTCTACAGGTATCTTACGGATGACATGCCACGCGACTCTAGCGATTGTGATGAATGCCACCACATACTCCTTTATATAATATAATGCATAAATAATGATTCTCCAAAAGAATTTGCAGAATAAGTGGAATATCGGTTTTATTAGTATTTCAAAAATGTAAGTGTAAAATAAAAATACATTTATTAAATAATGATTATTATAGTTTTATTAGATATTTTATAAAATCTAATTAGATTTATAAAAAATGTTGCAATTATATAGATGAAATCATAATAATTCTAATTTATTTTTGCATGACATATTATATGTCATCTTGTTCTCTCGCTCTCTCTTTATCTCTCTTTCTCTCTGTCAATATTAAAATGTTAATATATTAACAATAAGAATCTTATCTTGGACCGTACATTTGAAAATTCAACAATAAGAAATAAAAGTAATAACGATTAAAGCTAGATCTTTAATATTTAAATAATTCTATCTGAATTACTATATACCCTATAAGTACAATAATGTATTTGTAATCATATTTGTAATCATTCGAACTGCACACCGAATTGATCAATTAAAATACT